CAGGGTATAGACTTTATGTCACATAATAAATGGAAAGAGGAGGGAAGGTATTCAGTGTTTCCCATAGATTAAATATGCCCCTCTCCCCCCCAGGCTACCAGCTGGGGAGGATATTGATTAGCATCATGTTGAAGGAGATGGGGGCTTAAAATGAAGGAACCGGAACTAGGGTGACACCACAGAGAGGACAGTCATCTCTGAGAAGCAGCTTCCCTGAGGCGACGCTAATACCTACAGGCCATCCACCCCACGGTGCTGGAAGCCTTTCAGCACACTGCTGCCTGGGGAGGGCCTGCATGTCTGCCATGGGTCATTTCCCAGAAGTAATCTTTATAACCTAAGACCTTTTTTAGCTCATCTCAACCACCCTGTGTGGCCACCTCCTTTACAACGGCCCAGGACACACACAGGCCTCCGAAATTTTGGAATCTGGAAGAGGTATGTAGGGGAGGAGCTCTGCTGCGCTTCCTGACAACCTGGCCCATTTCCAGATGACGCATGGGCAAGGATGGACGGCAGCCCTGCTTGAGTCTGGGTAAAGTGCTCTGTGACTCCACCCGGGGCAAGGAGGGATAAGCAGCCCAGGGAGGAGATGCCACAGGCAGTTTCTCATTCCCCTCTCTCTTATGGGAGATGGTCACAAGGCCATTTCTCATGGATCTTCCTAGTTTCACTTAAGCATGAAATTTTCAACCTCGCCCCCCTTAGGGTTCAGCCGCAGACTTCTGTGTAAGTCCACCTGCTCGCCTAGAGCTGGGGGTGGGCTCCTCACAGCGGAGTGAACCGCCACCTGTGCTGCCTGTCATCTGGCCCTTCAGTTCCGTGTCATCTGTGGGATTCTAGATGCAGGTTGCTGACACCATGCTGATCCTGGTTTTGCTCTCAGTGTAAGTAATAACTGTTTGACTCTATTTCAGCTCATTGTCTCCCTCGTGGCTAAATCAATGAAACTGTGGTGTGCAAACCCAACCGCTGCAGCTGAGATCCTCGTGTCCATGTTGTGAATTACACCGCCACTCAGGGAATGCTTGATGGCTTGACAAGGGACAAGGTGTTGTCCTAGTTTGGCAACAGCATGAAAGGCTATTTCTCTTGTTTATTAGCAGTCTCTGTTCTCAAAGAGATTCTTCTTTGATCACCTGAGCATGACATGAAACCTGGAAAATTACATCTTATTAATTCTAAAGAACAAAAGAGTAAAACTTCTTTTGTTTTACTCATATGAAACAGGGTTGTTATATGTACTCATCCAAATTTGTCTCTTCTGATTCCCAGTTAAATTCACTTATCTTAGCAGAGTGACCTTTCCATATAAAGAAAGAAGCTCTGAGCCCGGCAGGTGTGGCTCAGTGACTGAAATGGGAGGTCGAAGTTCAATTCCCAGTCAGGGCACATGCCCATGTTGCGGGCTCGATCCCCAGTAGGGGGCGTGCAGGAGGCAGCAGATTGATGATTCCCTCTCATCATTGATGTTCCCATCTCTCTCTCTCCATTCCTCTCTCTGAAATCAATAAAAACATATTTAAAAATAAAAATAAAAAAAGAAAGGAGCTCTGAGAGGTATATAGGGTGTGGAGCCTGGAGCAGTCTCCTTTCCTCCACTTACCAGCCATATCATCTCAGTTGCTAAATGTCTCTATAACTCAGTTTCATTACCTATAAAATAGAGTCAACTTCCAGTAATTGTTAAAATTAAATGTGGTAATATATGTAAAATGCTTAGAACTGGCACACAGTAGGTGTATAATAAGCATTAGCTATGATATTAATAAAAACCTGTAGGTCTCAAACTATAAGGCACATTGGGATCACCTCTCCACCTCCAGAGTTTCTGCATCAGTAGTAGGTCTTGGGTGGGGCTATGGAATTTGCACTTCTAACAAGTTCTCAGATGATGCTGATCTGATGACTATACTTTGAGAACTACTGAGTTAGGATTTATTTGCATGTAAGTAACAGATACCCACAATCATAGTAGCTTAAAGAAAATAGAAGTTTATTCTTAGAGCTTGCGTGTCCACGACTGGTGTGGTGCTCGTTGGAGTCAGACTTTTTCTATCTTGTCACCTTGCCATTCACAGATTATTGCTTCACGCACACTGCTATAGATGGCACACCACCATGGCTGAATTCCAGCTAGTAGAGGAGAGAAACTGAAGAAAGAAGAAGAGAATAACACTTCTCTATAAGGAGACAACCAAGAAATTGTACACATCAAATGTACACATAGCCAGAACATAAATCAAATGGCTACATCTAGCTCCAAGTGAAGTGGAAGAAATACAGATTTATTCTGTAGCCACAGACCCAGCTAATAAACCAGGGTTCTATTACTCAGAGAGAGAAGAGAGAACAGATACTAAGGGGCATTTAGGTGATCTTTCACAGCTACAAACTGATTCCTACCTGTGAACAATGGCAAAATAATTTTCTATGGCTAAGAGAATATAAATATACATCATTTCCCCCCAAATACGAGCATAGCTTATTTCATTTTTAATTGTTTCTCCATTGAAAAGAGTCATTTGATTCAGTCTCAGGGAAGGATTATCTTAGAAGAATAAAAATGTTCTTTTTTTCCCCCTAATAATTTGCATTCTCATCAAATTTCTTCCAGATGGGCCATCAATGGGGGAATACAGAAAGTAGAGCTTTGGTGGGGAAAGTCAAAGGGAATTTGGAGCAAGAGGCCAGCAAGGCTAGCTAGCTAGGATGGAAGGCGGCTTGAACTCTAACATGTGATCCTAAGTAGGATAAGTACTCCAAGAGGGGGCCTTCTATGCAGAAGATTTTGCATGTATGATTGAGAGAACTACTCCAAGAGGCATTATGGGGATGCCCAGGAACTGTGCTAAATCACAGCTCTCACCAGCCCCCTCCTTTGTCTTCATCTAAGATTTTCACGTTGCTTCCATCTAGGCTCTGGGTAGTTGGTTGTCTACCGGCCTCACCACCTGCCTGCCTATTCATGCTGGTGGCCATGAATCTTCCCTCTGCTGGCTGACATTGCCTACTCTAAGAAACGCCTTGCCACAGTTTTCCTAACCAACCCCACTAGTCTAAAGGAGACTCCTAGATGCTTGGAGCAATGGTGGAAACAGTTATCATTCTGCACTCAGGATGGAAGTGAGCTAGCTCGAATCCCTGAGATAGGACAAGTTACCCATGCTACAAGAGTCAAAAGCAAAGGAAGAAACCATGAAGGAAAAGATCAACCAATTTTGCTATATACAAATAAATAACTTTGGGGTATTAATAAATAAATAAACTTCACAGATAACATATTTGTGCTTGATAGAGTTTTGCAAGAATTAAATGAATTAGTAATAAAGGAAATTATTGTGATAATTGGGAAAATTTGAATATGGACTGTATAATAGAAAGTATCACATCTATGTTAAACTTTTTGAGAAAGAGAACAGTATTGTGGCTATGTAGAGGAATTCCTTGTTCTTACACTAAATTTTGAAGTATTTAGGGGTGAAGAGTCATAATGTTCATGATGTTGCAATCACTCTTGTTGTTTGGCAAAGAAGTATATACACATATATGAAGACAGGCACACAGAAATAGACAGAAAGAGATAACATAAATATGGCAAAATATTAACCGTTGGTAGATCCAAGTAAAAGGCATAAGGGCGCTCATGTACTAGTCTTCCAACTTTTCTGAAGGCTTGATATTTTCAAATTAAAAAGTGAGGAGACAATAACTTGATTCATGTAACAGTTTACAATTGTTAGCTATCAGACTAAAATCACTTTGAGGACAGGATTCTTTGTTTCCATATGCTTGATGTCTAAACATTGTCCTGCTCCATAGTAGATGCTCAATACATCTTATACACGAATAAATAAAATGATGAATACATTTTTGTCTTCCTCCTTTTTACTTCACTACTCCCACTTGAAATTTGTTTTTAGGGTTAAATTAAAGCATAAATTGCAGTTAAGGGTTTGCATATCAACCCTCTTTGTGTGTATGTGTGAGTGTGTGACGTGTGTGTGTACACGTGTGTATGAGTTTTATACTCTATCCCACTCCCTACTGTACCTAAAACCAAATTAAGTAGGAGTAGAATTGCCAGATATAACATATAACATTCAATTAAATTTGAATTTCAGGTAATGAATTATTTAGTATAAGTATGGTCCAAATATTTTACGAAGGCCAAATATTACATGGAATGTACTTATACTAAAAAATTATTCGTTGTTTATTTGCAATTCTAATTTAAAAAGAAATCCTATATTTTTATTTGTTAAATATGGCAACTCTAATAAAAGCCATGTATTCCCCCTGATGTATATGGCTGACCCTTTGACAACCATGTCAAAGTCTTAGATATGTTGATTTATCTACAAGAAAATGTTTACAGTTTTGCTGAATTTTAAACCATAGTGGAAATAAACTTTTATCCTTCAGCTGAATTGTCCCCCTACTTGTCTCACACTTTTCCCACTCTGAATCTCTCACTTTTTTTTCACATAACACATTTTAAGGATTGCATTTTTATTTGTGATAAAAACCCATAATAGAATATACATACAGGTCACCTAAAAACACATGAGGATGATAATTAAACTATACAGTGTTGGATAGGTAGTATGATTAAAGAGTACACATTTATCGTATACAGTGTCATTAATATCAATGGGTTTCTTGCACAAAAAGTATGTTTTAGCGGTAACAGAGCAAACACATTAAAAATACTGTTGATAGAACTACAACTTCAAAACATCCCATCGAACTGGGCCTCATGGATTGGTTTCCCACCTGCTAAAGTTCGCCCTGATTGACAACGACCTTTCGATAATAGCATGCCAGCTGGAAAAGCGACACGAAGCCCGTGCACTTGCAGAAACGCCGCCGGCAAACCCCTTCGCCGGCGGCACCGCCCCGCACCGTCCAGGGCCCGTGCTTCCTGCACCTTCCTGAGTTGAGCCGTGGAGCCCGCAGGCCCGTGAGGCGCCGGAGGGGGCGGCTGCGCCGGCCGGGCCTCACTGCGGGTCGTAGTAACTGTGGCCGTCGTAGCTGTCGTAGCTGCGCCCCTTGTAGTAGCCGTACTCGTCCTCGTAGGCGCGGTAGCTGTCCCCGCGGGGCTCCCCGTTCCCGTTCTCGTAGACCTCGTAGGCGGCGTCGTACTCGCTGGTGCCCGTCGGCTCGTACTCCGCCTCGTACTCGGCG